TCTCCTTACTTTCCGCCGCGCCCTCAAGACATGGCTTTTCCAGCAAGCGGGCCTGACCTAGGGAGGATTTTAGGTAGGGATGATTTTAAGAAAATTTTAATTGACACACAGCTTCGAATATTTGGCTTTTAATTTGGTTTTATGGGGGTTTTTCTGTTCTTTGATGTATTTTGTTTGTCTGTTTTAATATGCTGTGCACTGCCCTGAGTCCTACGGGAGAAGGGCGGTATATAAATTAAATTATTAAATTAAATTAAATTAAATACACATACACATAGCATAGCATGCCTGGCTGAGGAATTCTGGGAGTTGAAGTCCACAAGTCATAAAAGGGCCAAGTTTGAAGACCCCTGCTCTAGATAATATACAACTTTTTAAAATAGTAACAAAGAGAACCAATAAGAAGCATAAACCATGCACATCCAGAGCAAACAATTCCTTGGACAAATGTAATGCTATAGGGTTAAACATCCATCCCATGCCTAAGGAACAGTCTGGGTTTCAGAGATTTCTTGAACATCATCGGGGTGAGGATCATATAAATCTCTGGGGAAATGCTGGCCCAGAGGGCAGATGTGAAGAAAGAAAAGGTGCCTTTCCTAGACACTACGAAATATCTACCACCAGATGACCCTGTTTAATCAAGAAGATCCCATTAAATTCAATGAGCTCATTTCCATTTTTTCAAGGATTCCACCAATATTCATTGGATATGGATAAAGTTTTCCTTAATATCTCAACCCATATACACATAACATATAACATTACAAACTGTACCAAGTTTTAAATGCAATACCCACAGTGAGGATCAAAGCATCTGTTTAGGGTTTTGGTTTTTTTTTTAAAATTGCTTTCTTTATACACCCAAGATTTTATTTAATCAAGAATGAATTTTCTCAAACTGCAACATGTAGCGAGGAGAGAGAGAGAGAGAGAGAGAGAGAGAGAGAGAGAGAGAGAGAGAGAGAGAGAGAGAGAGAGAGAGAGAGAGAGAGAGAGAGAGAGAGAGAGAGAGAGAGAGAGAGAGAGAGAGAGAGCAGAAAAAGTCTGTGCACAGAGTGAGTGGAGTAACTGGAGAGAAAAGTTGGAGAAAGCTCCCGGTCAGTTGAGAAAGAAGGGGGGAAAAAAGATCCAAGAGTAGCTTTCCTGGAAGAAGGGAAATGAAGACTCTGCGGGATGAGAACTCTACCCAAGACCCAAGTCAGGGAGGATGGAATAGTCAATCACTGGTAAAGCTCTGGTCTTTTTGGAAGACCTACTGCTTCCCAAGTGGAGAGGCAGTAGAGCTTCAATTGAGCAGATCCAGGAGAAAGTCAAGCAGTGCTTAACTTAGTACAGGAAATTTCCATTCCATTCCCCCCCCTCTCTTTTGTCAAGCCCAGCCTCATTGCGAATAGTAAAAAAGCATAAAAGCTTCCACTGTTTTACTGCATCGATTGCCACCCTTACTACCAGTTCAAAAAGAATCTTCTTATACTGTTGATACTACTGTATTAAAACCTCAGGAGAAAGGAAGGAGAGTTAGGAATATATTTTTTTAACTCCCAGAATTGCTATGAACCATAACATTGTTAGAAATAGACTTTGTTAGCTGTTTATTATCTGCTCATCTTTTAGGTACCTATAGAATGCTGGTTTTACCTTCACTGTGTCATATCCTAGTATGCCTTCCATGTTTCCTGTGCCATAGGCAATGGACATAGACTGTTGTGTGCTCTTGAAAGTAGAAGAAAGGCTTGGGTTAAATTGTTGATGTTTACCTAAATGTAAAAAACAAAACACCAGTCATTAATTAATATTAAAACAGCTTTTAATCAATGGTGGGTATCAAGCTCAGTATAATATAAATTTCTTCCTGAAGAAAAACATTGCAACATTTTACAGTGCAGAGCATTTGAAATACATTATTATTCGCCTATTAAAAGGAAATGGTTTCTATTTATTATTAGCCCATTAAAAGGAAAAGCTACATAACTGGTTAATAAAACTAGTGGATAGAGTTAATAATAATAATAATAATAATAATAATAATAATAATAATAATAATAATAATAATAATAATAATAATAATAAAGTTGGAAGGGATCCTGGAGGTCATCTAGTCCAACCCCCTGCTCAGGCAGGAAACCCTATACCAGTGGTTCTCAACCTTTTTAATGCCGTGACCCCAACCGGTCGTAAGTCGAGGACTAAACCGGTCGTAAGTCGAGGACTAAACTGGTCGTAAGTCGAGGACTTAAACCGGTCGTAAATCGAGGACTACCCAACCAGTCGTAAGTCGAGGACTTTCCCTGCCCGGGAGCGCTGTGCATGTGTGGTTCCGCCCCCTGCGCCGGCCGAGCCGTAGCTGGCAAGCGGCAGAGACGGAGCAGGCCAACCACCAGCTGGCCCAGCCCAAGGGAGATAAGGCACCCGCCGGAAAAGGGGGGAAAAAAGACGGACAAAAAAAATGGCGGACAAAAAAAATGGCGGACAGCCTTGCTTGGCGACCCCCATGAAATGGTCGATCGACCCCAAATGGGGTCCCAACCCACAGGTTGAGAACCACTGCCCTATACCATTTCAGACAAATGGCTGTCCAGGAATGTCACTTAATATTAAAAAGAATGTTATTTCTGTAAAATGCGATCTGTTACTCTTTGTGTCAGTCTTCAAATAAGGAAATTGATTTTAACTACTATCTTGAAACCTTTTGCTGAAAATTACCCTGTGCTTTTATAAATTAAAATTTGCCTACGCAGTCATATATCAAATCCCATAATATTCAGTGGAACATATTCCTTAGAAGATTGCTACCCAAAGGCTATGCATGCTTATTGTTAGAAGCCAAATTCCATTGTGCTCAGTGGGCCTTATTCCTAAAATCCCACTGCCAAACTTTCCTGATTCTAATTTAAAGTTCATGGGATGCTGTCCTCTACCATTCTAAATCTTTTTGAATCTTGGATGTATATGTTGTTATGGAACATTTATAGGGTTGGGAATGCCCAGCCGATCAGTATCTGCCCTTTATGGATAGCCTTGAACAGAGAAAGGCAAAGTAACCAGCACTAAGATGACCAGAAATCAACTGCTTTGGAGAGTCCTTGGTGCTCTTTTAGCTTGGTTGTTGTTGTGTTTTTTTTTTGCAAATGTTTTATTCAGTGTTAGCACTGAAGATGTTGCCTCGCCAGGTAAAAAAATGTCTGCAAGAAACCAACCAAGTTTAGAGAGCACCAAGAACTCCACCGTTGAACCCTAAGCTATATATATTCCATTGGTATCAACTGCTTTATCCTGCCCACTTCTTGCCTAACCCTGTATCCTTCCACCAATCTTTTAAAAAATAAAATGAAATAAAATAAGCATATTTCTACTCCTGGGATCATCACAATAGCATGATAATGATCCTTATTTTGTTCTTTGAAGTTATTGTTTGGTCCGCTTTTCAAGCCAGCACAGTGGTAAAAAGCAGTGAGAGGAGAGGAGTGAGGCAGACAAGATGTCCTCCCCACAGAAACACAGGCCCTCCTGTGTCAAATGCTTTTCCCTCTGGGCTGCAAAATGGGTTTCCTCATTTTTAAGAAAGCCAGTGCTAGTTGTGTATTCTGCTACAATGGCTTGCCTTCAGGACAGCTTGGTGAGATTTCAGGGAGCAAAGCATCTCATGCCATTATCTGATCCGCATCCCTGTTTAGAGAATTTCTTCATTAGAGTAATGGCTTCAAGCATTTTTTTTTCATCTTGCAGGATTTTCTGATGCAATGAAACTGCATCTTTGATAGCTATCACTGCTATCCAGTAAATATAATGAAATTTAGTACATCTATGAACCCACTTGATCCACTCTGATGAAGACAGTTACTTACTACATGCTTGACTTTTGCAGAAAACAGATGGTACCCAGAGATTTGATGATCCAGTGTCAAACACAACAGTGAATTCCTGTGGTGGTGTTCCAATGTAGATTGTTCCATAGTACTGGGACTGTTAATTTGTAAATAATAAATATATGTTGGAAGACTGTGAGTACAGTAGATCTTTTTTTCAATATTTTAATATTGATGCATGAGATAAACATGAAACAAAGCAAGAGAAAAAACATCTACAGAAGGGAATAACACAAAAAGGTAGGAATTACGCAAATAGAAACCAAATGAATAAACAGAATATGTACTGTAATTCCTATCTCTGTGTGTCACCCTTTTAGCTACCTAAATAAGAGTAATTGAGCTAGCATTATTTCACCTGCACTTTGACATCTATAATGGTAAAATAATTTTCAGTTTTCAAAATTGTTCAAATATCAGTTTTTATCACAGGCAATTAATAACATATATTAAGAAAAAAGTTTTTCCATGTCAAAACATACTCTCTGGACACATGGCTGCAAGCTAGAGAGCACCAAGGACTCTACAGTTCAACCCTGAGCTTCATATATTCTCTTCTATTGGCAAATCAAAAGAAAACCAGCAACTTACATCTAAATAGTTCAAGAGTGGTTCATCAGCTAGCTGATCAGGACTGAAAACAACTGGAAAATGTTTGGTGTACTTAGTAGCAATGTCATAATGATGTTCCTGTAGAAGTTTTTCCAGCAAATTATTCCTTCTAAGAATGTCTCTAAGTTTCTCTCCTTTCCGGATGGAAACCCTGGCATAGAAGAACAAAATGAATAGATTCTATGTTGTCATTCCTCTCCTATACATGTGTTTCTTTTAATGGAAAAAAAATTAGTCTGTTTCACATTGTCATCCACCCTATCTCTAAATTAATAAAAACAGTTATGGATTTAAATCAAACATCATGGGCTTTCAACTTGACCCCAGCAGCAAAAATATCAATACAGCCTACACTCATGAACATAATAAACCATACACCCAAAAGATTTGCAAAAATGTAAGAGAGGATACGACTGCCTAAAGAAAATGCTGCAAGTTAATTTATTCTACCTTTAAACTTTAAAAGCATTAGTTGAAAGTTTTAACCAGTTTCTTGATATTTAGTATCTGATTTAGGTAATATTTAAGATGACTTTTACATCTTAGTAAAACCAAAAATGTATAATAATGCCTTTAATATTGACTCAAATCTGCTTTCTCTTTGCATTGTATTGTATTAAAATAACAATGTAATTTTAAATCTGAATATACTATCCATAGTTTATCTCCCCTGTATTGCTAGAATAGAATATTCATGAATAAATCAATTAAACAAGCAAACAATTGCGGCTGTCAGTGATGAAAATATTAGTAATAAAATGAGGACTGACTGAACAAAACATTCAGAAAAAGCCACAAGAGCGAAGAGAATTGCTAGGTGCTTCATGCTGCTCCTTCCACCAAAGATGCACCAGTTGTGTTGTGCCTGCACTACATCATGTTGCTGTTTTATACCTATTGGAGTAGTACCCACCTTCAACTGAATAACAGGTTATCATAATTCAACAATGAAACTCTAATCTCCGGTAACCAATTCACTTTGCTCTCTGTAAATATATCAAAATCTTATCAAGGTAGATATCCTTTGCTGTAGTGTCTACATTGCCAATTATTCTGTTTCAGAATAGCTTGTGACTTGATTGTATGGGTAGGATTTAGCAGCTGCATACTTATCACAATATAACAAACTATTCATTTCAAATAACACTACTGGCATCCTCAACAAATTGTAGATCTGTACTGATAGAATTGTTCAAGACTGGGCTATGATTCTGTGCCTTAGATGCTATATCCTTGTCATTGTCCTTTTGGAATCATTTTTGTTCTCTTTATTCCAATATTACTTTTCTTGACTAAGCATGATGCACATAAAACAGTGGTAGGATTCAGCCAGTTCGCACCACTTCGGCAGAACCGGTAGCTAATTTTTTGTTGCCCAGGCCCAGAATGGACTTCTGGAAGCGGTATCCACACAGAGAACCAGTTGTTCACATATTTGAATCCCACCACTGACATAAAACTATATTAAAAGCACAGATATAAAGAAACAATTTGATGGGTTCACAACAGTTCTGAATCAAACCCAGCAGAAAATAAAAATTGGACTTGATTTGTAATCTGATGAATTGGAATATGATTTGTTGCTGCCAGACACGATGAAGAAAAACTGATCTGTTATAGCTATGGCAGAAAAGATGAAAAAAGACACAAGAAATTCAGAGATAATGGAACTGATGTGTGATGGACTGGATTCTCTTGGCAAGATGACTGCTGTGTTTGAACAATGGGTGCTGCAGAGATATTTACATCAAAGACTAATAGTACTGGTGAATGAGATGCAATTGTTGGGAAAATCCTTAACTAATGACATTATTACTCAGAGTAATCAAAGGAATGATTTTACTATTAAGTGTCAAATGAAGATATTTGGGGTGATTTGTGGTAGATAAGAAACTGTGGTAGACTTTCTTAGAGTTAATTACGATTACAGATTGTTAACACAGAGTTCTGAAGTTTAATTTTGTTGTTGATTAACCTGTTAACTATTTTTTCTACATATATATGGTATAATAGATGTATCACAAGTGAATTGGTTACTAATAGATGTAGAAGTTTATAAATCTTAGATCTCTTTGTAAGGGGAGAAAGCTACTATTGCTGTAATATATTTGTCAGTGCTCAACTAGGGAGGATAACATGAGTTTCTGTTTTTTTGTCTTTTAATCCACATTTTTAATGATTTAGTTTAGTTTTGTCTCATTTTTGTAATTTTTTTCTTGTTTTTTTTCCTTTGGAGTTTGTATTTTAATTTTCTGTGAAAAAATAAAAAAAATAAATTAAAAAAGGAACATTAATCAAAAAATTGTAAATGCCAGCCCAAAATATCCAGTTGTTCTCATTCTTGGATTGTCAAACATATCATGAAGGATTTGTACACAGGGTATAAAGAGAAAAAATATGTATTTCTGGCACATGCTTTCTTTCCAACGAACTATAGGAAATGTTCATACCTTGACAGCATTTTGTACATAGTTGATTTACTGTGTAATCTCCAACAGGACTTTACTATTATGTAAATGCAGATTTACTCTGCTTAGAACAGACATATTGAAATTAATGGAGCTTACATTAATTTCAACTGATCTTGTGGTTAGATGTCATTCTATTGCTATATTATTGTTTACACAATAAAAAACCTTATATAAGCATGCCTATCTTAAGTAAATATGCCCAATATAGCTCTTTCTCACTTTAACTGGATTGAACTCTGTTCAGTGAGCATCATAGTCTTATATTTTCATAAATGGCAAAGACTATGAAGAAAGCAAATTATCGGGGAGGGGGGAGGAAGGGCTGGAGAATGCCCCTCCTTGTGTATTACACATGACCTTGTGTATTTTTCCAGTTCTTATGGTTCCAAAACAAATGTTCACTTTTATCTGAAGTCCTTGGCACATATCTTTTGAGCATAACTGCTAGAAAAGTTAAGATTACATTAAGATATTGGCATTTAATGCTAATTAAATATATTTAATATTATTATTAGTTCAATGTGAGGACATACTCGAACCTCTTAACAAGCCCTGTTAGCCTGTTAACCACACATGATGTTGGTGAAATGTGTCTGAATGTACTGTAAAAAGCTTTACGATAGCATCCTTTTTTTTTGTATCAGTGACAATTAAAATTAGAGTAATAAAATCTTCAGATTTGCATGGTAGTCTCTCTCCAATAGTCTCTTCCAGTTTCTTAATATTCCTGTTGCTTGAAAACCACACATGAACTATATTGCTGTTATTTATTTGTCCCACCAATATAATCTTAATTAGATTTGCTTGTTACAATATTTTTCCTTAACTATTCCATAGCCCAAAGCTCAAAGAACTGGTTTATCCATGATTAGTTTTCATGTGATATATCTCTAATTCCCTGCTTCTTGTTTCTAAAATTGTCAAACATTTCTTTTTAATAATATTTTTTGGACAAATTCAACACACTTTGCTATTGTCTCTGTGTCCTTTACTGATGTGTACTTTTATGCATTATCTAGTTATAACCAGTTGAACAACCTAAGATGATTATTTTACTATTTCAAGTTAAATATTAATGCCAAAAAAGAAGCCAGGGGAATAGAATTCAAAAATTGCATCCATCAACAGCATTCTGGAGCATCTTCACTGATGACTTCGCATTTTTTTTTCTTTTGGGAGTTTTTGAAATCTGGTCATGGTATAGGAAAAATACAGGAAGTCAGAACACGTCCACAATGATTTCTAAGCCTAATAGTAATAATAATAATAATAATAATAATAATAATAATAATAATAATAATAATAATAATAATAATAATAATAATAATAATAATAATAATAATAATAATAATAATAATAATAATAAAGTTGGAAGGGACCTTGGAGGTCATCGAGTCCAACTCCCTGCTTAGGCAGGAAACCCTACACCATTTTGGACAGATGGCTGTCCAGTCTCTTCTTAAAAACTTCCAGTGTTGGAGCATTCACCGCTTCTGGAGGCAGGTTGTTCCATTGGTTAATTGTTCCAACTGTCAGGAAGTTTCTCCTTAGTTCTAGGTTGCTTCTCAGAAGGGTGTTGTATGTGTTTTGGGGAGGCTTGTTGGAGTTTATATTTAAAAAGAAATATTGCCACCAAAACATCTGTTTTTCTGAGAAATGTTGTAAATTATACTTTTGTTATTCTGTCCATACTTTCTCAGACAAGGGATGCCATTGTTACATTAATTAGACAACTTGGGAGAGCGAGAAGAACCAACAAACGTTTTAGCAAAGGACAATATGATGTATGATGTATCTTGGCAGGAGGTCTGGAGGAGGCATCATTTGAAAAATATGTGAATGTATCTTTGTGGCATATGGATTTTGTAGCCTGGCCTGGCATCTGTTCTGCTGGCGTAAGCCAGTTTTTGGAGTGGGAAAAAAAAGGAGAAAAGGACAGCTATGCTAGCACGAGGCCTGATGAGTGACCTAGCTGGTAGCAAGATTTTAGACAGCAGTCCATTGGGCAGAAAGTATATAGGTGTTGGGGATTACAACCCTAGGGGGGAACCCATCTTCTCAGTTGCTGTGGGACATGCTGCCTTCTAAGCAAAAAAATGGAGATAGGCAGAAAGAAAAGGAGTGGGGAAAAGGAAAGGAGAATAAATGTAGCAGGAATGAAAAGAAAAACTGGAGAAGACATTGGAGCGAAGGGCTGAAGAGAACTTGGAGACTGAAGTGAAGCATGTTGGTTCCTGTTCAGGAAACAGGAACCTGATTGGCTGCAAATGGCGACTTCACCCAAGACCCAAGAAAGGATAGTAAGAAGTGGCTGCTGTAAGAGAAGCCCTGGTCTGTGAGGAAGAACTGGGGAGAAGACTTTGAGAAAGGTTCTTCCCCAATGCAAAAATGGAAAGTGTTTCTACTGAGGTGAAAAAAGTCCAGACATACTGAGCACATTTTAGTAATCCAGTTCATTTCTTTCCTTTTCACTCTGTTTCTTGTCTAGACCAGTAAAGGATGACAAAGTTGGAGAGAAAAGAGGAGGATGCAGGAGAGATAGAGGGGAATAATTGCTGGAAGGAGACATGAAAGGAAACCTGACATCAGGATTGTCTTTTAAAGATCTGGTGTAAATAACTATATATACAGCAAAAAGTAAAAAAAAAAGGCTATAGTGTGCTTTTTGTGTTACTTGCCACCTTTGCTAAGCAATAAACTTCCAGTTCAAAAGCAAACTCTGCCACACGGTGATAATCTTATATTTGAATACCTTTGGCTTTGCCCTAGTAAGCCTTGGCAATCATTTAAAAATTCCACCAAAGGCTATTTGACTTGTACATAGCTTGTCATGCCAGAAAAGGTCATTTGTATTTGATATTGATATATTTAAATGAGTCAAATCATATTTTTGTTAATGTTATCATCCTGATTAAAGAAAGAATTAAACAAAGCAAACAAGTTTTCTTCTGTGTTGTAGGTCACCCTCCCTTTTAATGACTTTGGAAGAATATTGTCCAGTCGTCTCAAATCCACAGCAGTTTGCTTGAAAAAGATTACTTTGCAAGGTTAAGACACGTGAGATTGCAAATACTATTTCTATTGCATTTGAAAAGTGCAACATTTTTTGATGTTTTAGGTATCATAGGTTGTAGTACTTTCCTTCAAGAATAAATTTCTAGCCTTTCTACTGTTGCTCTTGGCATGCCCATAAGAATTCTTATAGGTGATTTGCTCGATCAGAGCAAAGATCCATCTAGTCCAGCATTGTGTGTCACATGGTGACCAATCAAACACATTTAGAAAGCTCACAAATACAGACTTCTTCTGCTGTTGTTCCCTATCAGCTGGAGAAGACATCCTGTCTAGGATTCAAGAGTAGTACAAAGCCATTAAAACCAAGGCATGATGTATAAATGAATAAATTTTGTAACAACCATGAATTTATCCTGTCCTTTTTTTAAATGGTGGCCATCACCCCATCTGATGATAGTGAATTCTAAGTGTATTCATGTCCAAAAAGGGGCCCCATGGACTAAAGTACATCTTCTCCTTTCTTGACCAAGAACAAATTTAAGATAGCCTTGCTAAGCTAATAAGAAAATGTAGGATGGAAAAAAAACTGCTCAAATCCCATAATAAAAAATACACTAATGTTATGTTGAACTAATGTCCAGATCCTTCCATTTTAATTCAATCAGTGTGAATTAATGTGTGGCAAAATTGGGAAAAGGAAGAATTTTCATGTTTTGACACTTCGGGAATTGGTCCACATATGTGCCAGTTTGTTGTGTACCACCAAAGCATGGAGATGTTTTTAAGTTGAAAATAGTTTGGGAAGGAACAGCACATCTCATGGTGTTGAGGTCCCAATATGATGGTTGCCCACCAGAGTGTTTGCTCTCTTCTTGTCCCCCCACCCCACTTCAGTTTCAAAGGACCTGATCTTTTTGCCTCCTTGCTGTTAATTGTTCAGTCTTCACTGCATACAGACACTCCCATTTTGAACCAATATATTGGAGGATAAAGCCTAAACCAACAACAAAAGAGCTTCTGCTGTGAAGAACAGAGGTAAGAAGATGCATCAGTGGGAAATGGTGGGTATCGTGCATCTGGTTTCCTGCATGGGGTCTCTTTGTCGTCCACTCTGGAACTGAGTGTTTACTGTATATATGTCCAAAGAAAGAAATTGGGAATGTGGGCTGAGTGACAGAAAGAGAGAAAAAAATACCATCTTGTGAAATAGGTATTTACCTTTTGTTTTGGGGGGGAGGCAGAATGCTGGCATCACATTATTTTATGTTTTGAATGTCAGGCCACCTTGATGAATGTCATCCACCTTGTAATCCACTTGCTCATGTCTCCATATTACCAGCTAGTTGCTGCCATGGCAGTCTAATAAATTCCAAATATGGCCAGATTTAAAAAGGGACAAAACCTGTTATAAAAGCAGTCTGAATGTTCATGTCATGAGATACAGTCTCATTTATTCCTCTTCAAATGCTCTTCAAACCAATCTATTAGCCTTACAGTGCTGAGCAAAAATCACTTCCTTACCTTGAGCTGCAGGGAGACAAATTGAGGCAGGAATGGGGAAATGGATAAATAAAAACAAAATGGTTGGAGTCATCAAAACTAACTGAATAGAAATTAAAAAATAGAAACTTTACAAAGCTGCACCTTATTAAAAAAAAATTTACTGAGCCAGAAACAAATCGGCTCCTCTGCCAAACATTTGCCAATATTTTGGAATCAGAGGTCCAGAACTGCTCTCAAACTGATGGAAGGTTTGTGTGTGTGTGTGTGTGTGTGTGTATGTGTGTGAAAGTATCATTTTCTAAAAGTGGTTAAAAAGTATGCATTTTCTTTCTCTGGCCAAAGTATTCTAACAATAATTATATGACTTGCATTACATGATATGACAGAGACCCAGTACTTATATAATTTATATACACTACAGGTATATACTTCATTTTATAATATAGCACGCATAACAATAATGGAAGTATATCTGCACATTACAAGGGGGAAAATAATCTTATCAAGTGTGGTACATATCCAGGCCCTGTAATTTTTGGCTTCTATCCACATTCAAAACAATACTCTTGAGACAGCATTATGGAAGAGAGTTCTTGTGAGGTGAATATTTTATAGCTCTACACTTAATCCAATTTAGGCAGAAATACAATCTTTCAAACTCTGCCAGAAGAAATTTTGTTCCTGTTTCCAGAAAAAAAAAATGGCAAGGTTAATACTGATTAGGTGTCTTTTGTGACAGGTCTGTCTTCCTCCCTTCTTTCCATTATTAAATTATTTCTACCCCATCCTATTGAGCAGATCTCAGAGAAAAATGTGATCGGTAAAACAACCCAACACAACTCTCCCACCCCCTAAAATAACAATTATACACATTTTATTTCACATAAACATATCATGTATGTATGTATGTATGAAATGTTTTCAGGCAGTGGTCTGTTTGTTTAAAGCATGCTGGCTGGGGAATTGTGGGAGTAGGTCTATACATAATCAAGTTACTGAGGTTGAGAAATACTTGTTAAAAGGACTGACTGTGCTGTAAGGTATCTACTGTAGTAATCACTAAAGATGCTTGCCAAGGTTCAGGAAAGGAATGGAATTCCACATCAGGAAGATTCAGATCCAAAATTCCTAGTTTATTTGTCCAAGGAGCACCAGTCTTGTTTCTTCCCTTGCCTATAACAGCCATTCAGGTTAATTATGGCTAGTCAAAATAGGAATCGTATAAAAACTTTAATCACATTCAAGAGTGGATGGGAAATCAATCTGATCAAGACCACATTAAGGAAAACATCGATATGTTTTTCTTCCTCAGTACCCATGGCAACAGGAAAGAAAGGTTCATTAGGGAAATGGAAGACAAGAGGTATTCCTTCCTTTGTACTACCAACTTGATTGCTTTGCTTTCCTGAAACCTTCTGTGGCAATTTAACTTTTTAATCAAACTGCAGGAAATTGATGATGCTAAGTTTTTTCTGCTTTCATCAGAGACTTCTTAACTTTCCACAAATGTCACCACATTATGAGAGCTAAGCATTTTCTCATTTCTGCCTGGAAACACACATAGTTTCATAGGGAATCTGCCACTGATTGTACTAACGAGGGTCAGAGCTACATGAAAAAAGTTAACAAACCCTTTGAAGGTGGCAAACTTTCCTCAACACAGTGGAAAGTGTACAATCTTTCCATGAGTGACTTTGCACATTGAGATTAAACGGTGAGTAGGAAAGATAAGGAGAACACAAATATCTATTATCTATCTATATCTGTTTGTCTGACTGACTGTCTGTCTGTCTAGCTATCTAGCCAGCTGTCTAGCTATCTAGCTACCTAATCTATATCTATCATCTTTCCAGACACAATAATATTAACTACCTAGTTTTTTAAAAAAAGATATTCTGGAATAAATAAAGGTGTTTCCAGAACTACAAAATATGCCCAGCTCATATTAGTCATTCTGCAAGTTTATATTTTTAATTCCAGTTCTAGAATCTTTTCATTTGTTTTACAGGAACAATATCTGCACATCCAGAAATTACTAATTACTGACAGCCCATTTAAGTCATTTGTATAAACTGACAATTATCTTCAACACATTTTAACATGCTGTAGATATAAAGGTATGAAGGTCACAAAACACTTTTCATTAAAAATCCAAGTTCTTGAAGTCTATTGAGCATCGGTATCGACCATCAGTGAATTTAGAACATATGAGGTTTGGCAAACAAGGACAGGTGTGATGTTGCCGTTTTCCGAAGAAAGGGACCTTTTCAAGAAAATAGAAAATATAAATAATGTTAACAATAAACTTTGCATTCAAGTAAGGTAAACAACTAAATGCACAAAAAAGCTATAAAACACTTTATCCTTAAGAAAAACAAAATGAAACTATTTGGATTTATATGGCCTAATCTTCAGACGTAGCAACTTTAAGATGGAATTCTGGGAATGGTGGCTGGGAGCATTCTGGGAGTTGAAGTCCATCCATCTTAAAGTTGCCAAGTTTTAAAAAACCTTGACCTAAATTCTGCAATGTAATTTGGAATGAACCCAGATCTTCATCTTTCTAAAAATTTCTGAACGAGGAATGAAGCCCTAAACAACTTGGGGAAATGTGGCCCACTTCTCCCTCGGAGCCTTAAGAATGTGTAAAGTCATTTCATGAGACAGAAATAAAAGGCCACACTTTTTCATACAAAGCTAATGTTATGTCAATACCTGCTTTCTTTAAAAACTTCTTTCCTTGCAAGAGTGAATTGTTATGTGAAGCAATTTAACTTCAGTTAAGAAATCTGAGGTTTTACCTCCCTCCCAATGTAGTTGATAGTTAGGCAGCAGATAATGTTACTGTTGCTTTGTTTCTATAATTCAGCTCAACAAAATCAAACAATGATCAGGCTGTAGAAAATGGAATTCTCAACTAATACACAAATGCATTTTACTTTGGGACCCTGCAAATGCAAACTGAAATGTAAATATTTTAATAAACAAATGATAAATAAAGTGAAGCCTGTAGAAAATATCACGTGCTCCAGCAGCTGATGTACATATATATCAACAAATCAATACAAAGATATATGTTGACATGAAAGACGATTAGTACTTCATATTGTGAACTAGTTGAGGCCACTTACAAATACCTTATGGCTAATAGGATGGCATTCATCTCCCTCACGCCCCAATGGAGTGCACATACGAAGCCCACGAAGCCACAAGCTGATAGCACAACATGTCCCACTTCCACATTGCAGATCTCTTTCACAGGCCTGCAAACAAACAAAAAAACCATCACAGAAATGCTAGTGTGAAGAGAAACTTTTATTTACCATTATAATTTCATTGCAGATGTAAAGGTCTGTGGGAATTTTAGAGAAGCAGTCTTCTAATAAAGAACATTTTACAAATAATTAAAAACATCAAGACCTGGGGAAACAGTCATGTTACTGGTAGGTCCCAGGGATAGCTGAATAACCGATTTTATATCTGATGCTAAATATACATTTTGTCAGAGAGCTAACCAAATAGGAGACTAAATTTAACATAAACTTTAGGGTAATTTCCACATGACCACATTGTAGTCTTTGCTGAGTGGCACATTCTAAGAATCATCCAATAACTCTTTCATGCAATTGTTTGTTCAAGATTGGGAACTGATTTAATGGATCACACAAGTACAGAAAACATAAGCTTTTTCAAATGATTACTTTAGGCTAGATTTACTATACCTGGACTGTAAAAATGCCAGTGACCACTTGATAGCAGCAAAAAGCTGGAGCTTTCTAAGAGGTTAAGAAAAAGAACTATACAAGAAAGATCTTAAGGTCCCTGATAACCACGATGGAGTGATTGTTGACCTTGAGCCACATATCCTTGAGTAAGAAGACAAGTGGGCCTTAGGAAGCATTGCAAACAACAAAGCTAGTGGAGGTGACGGTATTGCAGCTGAGCTATTTAAAATCCTAAAAGGTGAAGCTGTTAAAGTGCTGTTAAATGCCAGCAAATTTGAAAAAAGTCAACAGCGACCACAGGATTGAGAAAGGTCAGTTTATGTTCCAATCCCAAAGAAGGGCAATGTTTAAACTACAGTACAATTACGCTCATTTCACACGCTAGCAAGGTTACGATCAAAATCCTACAAGCTAAGCTTCAGCAGTATGTGAACTGAGAATGACCAGAAGTACATGGTGGGTTTCAAGGAGGCAGAGGAACTAGAGATCAAATTGCCAATATTCCCTGGATTATGGAGAAAAACATCTATTTCTGCCTCATTGACTACACTAAAGCCTTTGATTGTGTGGATCATAACAAAGTGTGGCACGTTCTTAAAGATATGGGAATACCAGACCATCTTATCCAGGGGTATCAAACTACCGGCCCGTGGGCCGGATGCATCATAGCAAAACTGCACCCACCCCATTGCCGGCAATGGCAAAAAAGTCGCAAAACGTCGCAACACATCATGTGACATTACGAGTTTGACACCCCTGATCTTATCTGTCTCCTGAGAAACTTATATACAGTTCAAGAAATAACAGTTAGAACTGGACATGAAATAACTTATTGGTTCAAAATAGGGAAAGGAATACAAGGCTGTATAATGTCACCCTCCTTATTTAACTTATATGCAGAGTATATCATGCAAAATGACAGGTTAGCTGAATCACTAGCCAGAATTAAGATTGTCAGAAGAAATATCTAAGACGTCAGATATGCAGACGGTACCACTCTAATGGCAGAAAGTGAAGAGGAACTAAAGAACCTATTGATAAGAGTAGTGCAAAAGTTGGCTTGAAACTCAGCATTAAAAAAAAACTATGGCATCCAGTTCAATTATTTCCTGGAAGAAATGGAAACAGTGACAGGTTTTATTTTCTTGGGCTCTAAGATCACTGCAGACAGTGACTGCAGCCATGAAATTACAAAACTCTTGCTTCCCAGGAGGAAAGTTGTGGCAAACCTAGACAGCATATTGAAAAGCAGAGATATCACCTTGCTGACAAAGTTCCGTACAGTCAAAGCTATGGTTTTCCCAGCACAAGTAAACCTTGACTTACAACAATTCATTTAGTGACTATTCAAAGTTACAACAGCACTGAAAAAAGTGACTTATGACTGTTTTTCACACTTATGACCATTGCAGTATCCCCATGGTCACATGATCAACATTCAAATGCTTGGCTACTGGTTCATACTTATGACCGTTGCAGTGTCCCAGGGTCATGTGATCACCTTTTGTAACTTTCTGACAAACAAAGTCATGGGGGAAGCTTTAACAACTGTGTCACTAACTTAACAACTGTAGTAATTCATTTAACAGCTGTGGCAAGAAAGGTTATATAATGGGGCAAAATGCACTTAACAAATGTCTCACTTAGCAACATAAATGTTGAGCTCAATTATGGTTGTAAGTCAAGAACTACCTGTAGTAAGGTATGGCTGTGAGAGTTGTACCATAAGGAAGGCTGAACACTGAAGAGTTGATGTTTTTAAATTGTTGGTATTGGACTCTTAAGAGTCTCTTGTACTGCAAGGAAATCAAATCAGACAACCCTAAAGGAAATCAATCCTGATTGTTCTTTGGAAGGACAGATACATCTGAAGCTGAACCTCAAATACTTTGGCCACCTAATGAGAAGAGAGGACTCATTGGAAAATACCGTGATGTTGGGAAAGATTGAAGGCAAAAGGAGAAGGGGACGGCAGAGGATGGGATAGCTAGATAGTGTGATCAACATAATGAACATGAATTTGGGCAAACTCCAGGAGACAGTAGAGGACCTGGTTTGCTGTGGTCAATGGGATCCTGAGGAGCTGGACGCAATTTAGCGACTGAACAACAAAATACCTCATAGAAGAGAATATGTGTGTTTTCTATACTGGCATCTAATTTAATTCTCTTATGGAATTAAATGGCTTTAATAATACAGTAAAGCAGTCTTTTTACTACTGGGTGAGAAGGGAAGAACGAGGAAAACAAGCAATCAGATCTTCCAATAGTCAATAGTTCAGCATGAGCATCAACCCAAGCCTATTGCCAGTCCACTATAAACTGAACCAGAATTTCTTAAATTAGCTTAAGAAAAGTTGGGTACAGTTAAGGAGAGAAGCAACTTAGATTTCAGTGTGGAATTGCCCTTAGATTGAGCAAAGAACTATGTGCTAATATGAATTGCCATTCCATAAAAGTATCAAAAGAGTTGCACTGATATCCAAATCTGCAAAATGTCTAGTTAAGGAAAGCTTCTTTAGGAAGCTTTGTAGATTTTGTGATAGGCGAACCTGTCTTCACCATACAGGCTCGTAAGGAGCTTGTTGGACATTAAATCCTGCAGATATTATGAAGATATACATAGAATTAAGCCCACATTAATTTTAAATAATTCATTAAGCCTATGTCAGTTGTGGAGCCCTAGCAAGAACATGAATATTGGACTGCTAATAGAAAGTCTATTGCCATTTGGCCTGAGGCAAGGTTTTTGAGTATCTTCCCTGCAACCACTGCCATATAAATTAGTCTAGAATTTGTTTGCCATTAGACTCTTGATCGATCCAGCACACTGGCAAAGTTGCTTCCTCCATGAAGCACGTTAATCAAAAAACAGATGCGTATAACAGGGCTGCATTTAGAAGAAGAAAGAGATGTCAGGCAAATAAAACATGACTGCTTATAACTAATCTCATCATTTATTACAAGGGGGAGTAAAATTGCAAGCATCACAACAAAATGAAATGACATTTATATGGCATTCTTTTTGAAATATGAGGATGCATTAACAGTGCATCTCAAAAGAACAATAAATATACTGGTTTTCAGGGGAAGAAATAATAAGCAGTAAAATTATTCCACTTCTTCAACTCTCTCTTATTTAAGAAACTTTGTAATTTGCAGTGGACATCTAATTCTCATTATGCCATAATTCTGTTGGTAAGAAATAAATAATAGTTTTGCTTTTCAGAAAAGAATGAGGCAATCTGTAAGACTCTAATTCAGCAGGAATAATATTCTGTTAAACAAATTCCAAATATTTGCAAAGGCTGTAATAAAGAAATAGTTGTTTCCATTGTGACTTAACTTCTAAACATTTAGTAGTAGAGTTAATTTTGCAATTTAAATAAAATAGTCAGAAAATCAAGGCCTGTATTATCTTCAAAAGTGAAACCCCAATCTGCAACATTTGCAACTAGAACAATGAGAATATTGGTGAAGGAGGAAGAAAAATTCACTAGAAGACACTGTCTAGCCTCCATTGTTTGCCTGAATTCCACAACAATCTTGGTTGGGTAGATATTTACCCTGGGGAAATAACTGAGTCCAGCCCCTAAGCCAGAAAAGGGCTCAAAAGATCTTCCAGTGGTGTATAGAACAGCCTTCTCCAATCTGGAATATTCCAGAATGCTGAGCAGTGGCAATTACCAAATTACCAGCCATCATTTTGGCTGACAATTTGGCAGTCACATCTTAATTTTAATTTGTAATCTACCCAGAATCATTTAGGTGAGTTCAGTGTAGTAATTTGATAGATAAATAAATAAAAAGGTTAAAATTTTATAGCACTCTGAAGTACACTTGAGAGTTGTACACAAAACTCAAATAGAGGACCATATTTTGTCAAATAAGACTTCGGAGATTATAGTTTTAGATCAGAACTTTTTAAGCTGTACTGCTTGCAAAATAAATGTGATGAACTGAGTACATTAAAAGAGTATAAATAATACAGGTACTCCTCGACTTATGACCATAACTGAGCCCAAAATTTCTGTTGCTAAGCAAGCAGTTATTAAGTGGGGTTTGCCCCATTTTATGACCTTTCTTGCCACAGTTGTTAAGTGAATCACTTCAGTTGTTAATTAGTCACACGGTTGTTAAGTGAATCTGGCTTCCCCATTGACTTTGCTTGTCAGGAGGTCACAAAAGGTGATCACATGACCCTGGGACACAGCAACCATCATAAATATGAGTCAGTTGCCAAGCATCTGAATTTTCATCACATGACCACAGGGATGCTGCAACAGTCTTAAATGTAAAAAAACGATCATAAGTCACTTTTTTTAGTGCCACTATAACTTTGATCTGTCACTAAATGAACTGTTGTAAGTCGAGGACTACCTGTATAACATGTGATAAAATCAGTGAATTATTTATTTATTATCTTGTATGGCTACCCATCTTAAAATTAGAACTTCAGGTGGCTCACAACCATAATATCAAAACAACATTATACAAAAAAATAAAATAAAAAAAGTAAAATAAAGCAAAAGGCAATAG